ATCATTTGTGACCAAAATCCCATTGGAAATATATATAAATATCTCAGTTAAAATAAGTTCTATAGATCTGCTGCACAGCATTGTACCTATATTCAATAATAATGTCCTGTACACTCAAGAATTTAAGAGGGTATATTTTATGTTGTATTCTTACCAAAATAAAATAAGATAAAATAAAATGAAAACATCTCAGTCACAGTATGACAGTAGGTGGAAGCCAGGGTGAGGAGAACACGTGGTCATCTCAAGTAAGGTTCTTACGCGCTCCAGTGTCACTGTCAATGACAGGTCATCTGCTGGGATTCCCAAGTCTGCTGATGCAGAAGATCTGCGAGGTACTGGGCGTGACTTGCCATGTCCAAGTTACCTTATCCTGCAACATTACAACACATGCCAACGTCTTGCAAGGATGCTTAAGACTCCTCAGTGTGATTGTAGGTGCTTTCATGGAACGTCAGGCATGAATGCCAAAACAGCACCAGTTCACACTTCCCCACACTCCTCATCTTTCTTTTGCTCAAGTGAAGAAAAGAGAAAGTTCTGGAGGCTAAATTGCAGCACCTTTTTATCATAGTTGATCTAACATGTCCATGCTCAGCTTGAGAGACGAAAGAGACAGTCCATCAGAAATTGTTGGCTAATTTGCCAAGGGCTAATTTCTCTCTAAGGGTCACCTGTTGCAAAAGAAGGCAGAAGGCAATCCGAGCAGAACTACCCCACTGGTCTCCACGGATGCAGAAATCGCTTCAGTGTTTGACACGTTTCAATGCACAGTACCTCTGAATGTCTCACCAATTCTGAGTGGAACCAAGCTTGACATTGACTTGAAGACATACTAAGAATCATCCAACAGAAATTACAGTTTTGTTTTTTTGAGGAAGATTAGCCCTGAGCTAACATCTGCTGCCAATCCTCCTCTTTTTTTTTTTGCTGAGGAAGACTGGCCCTGAGCTAACATCTGTGCCCATCTTCCTCTACTTTGTATGTGGGACGCCTGCCACAGCATGGCTTGACAAGCAGTGCGTAGGTCTGCACCTGGGATCTGAACCAGTGAACCCTGGGCTGCTGAAGCGGAACATGTGAACTTAACCATTACGCCACCCAGCCGGCCCCAGAAATTACAGTATTTTACTCACAAATATGTTAACTAAATCATTTGTTTGAAGACAAGTGATCTTTATTCTGACTGAAGCTAACTTTTACTGTTTGCAAAATTCAGAACTTAATCTTTCACTTTATGCTAACCAAGTGCAAATCCTGAATGCCAAGTAAGTATCACGCATGCCGCCACTGCCTTCCCCTCCCTACACATTATCCACGGCAAACATCATTAACTGATCTTAACACAGTTTCCCACGGAACCCGGGTTTCAGGCTCCTTCTCAAAGCACTGCTGCAAGCATCCGTCCGTCAGTGTTTCTTTTTCCACTAAGAGGAAAACGAGGCTAGCTTCCATATACAAAAAATGTAAGGCAGTATTTCTTTCTTGCAGAGTTAGTCTTTAATACTTGGATGTCTACTATGCTATTCTAGAAGGAACTAAAATACATAGCACTTTCCGAACTCACTTGATCGCAGACCCCTTTCTTAATGCAGTACCCGTGGGTTCTCTGTAACACAGTGTGGACGGCACTGCTGTAGCACCTTACCGTTGATGGCTTTTTCCACTTGAGGCTTCTGACGTGCATGGGTGATTCCCATAGTCGTTCAACGTTTTGCAATCATTGGTTTTTCTAATAATGATGTGGATTTGACATACACTGTAAGGCTGTGCCGAAGAGCCAGTCAGATAACATGCCAACCTAGTGTATCACACAGTATTCACATTACAAAGAGGATTATTTTTTGCAAACTATCTTCATTGACCATTTACTCCAAGCCAAAGTGTTCTAAGTACTTAGGTCTCATGTAAGTAGAGTGACCGTATATCCCACCTTATGCCTGAGGTAGTCCCAGCCGATGCCTGCTTCTCCATTGTACTTATTAATGCTACTCCCCTTATACCATCAACCTGTCCTCTTTGGATGATTAATTAATTAAACGATCTCCTTACATTTACTTCTCAAACAACCTATGCTAACGTTGGTATTATTACCCCCATCTTACCGATGATTAAATAGGGCTCAGGGAGACTGAAAAACTGGCTTAGTTTACACAGCTAGGACAGAGCTGAGCCAATATTCAAACTAGGTCAGTCTTACCTCAAAGCTTACACTTTTGAATGCAGTACTGCACTGTTCATTTAAATGCACAATGCCATTTAATATCTATAAAATTATGTAAGAAGCAATATTATCTGCATTTTGAAGATGAGAATATTGAGAAAATCATACACTGTAATTTATAAATTTGAAGTCTAGTGTATTGAGAATCTCGCTTTTTGCTGTCTTCTGTGTGATAGTCCCTGCCTTTAAAGGTCAGTCTCACAAAATAAGGCAGGCCAACGAATGTGGCCGGCAGGTACAGCTACAGAAAAGGCTGAAAATAGGGCCTCATACCAGCTCTGCACTATTCTGCTGGGACCCGCTAGGCCAGGCTCATGATGCAGCTCTCTCTCCTAATATTTACCCGTTTAGAAAGCAATTTGCAGTAAAATTCAGGTAAGTCCAAGTTATTAAAATCAGACCCCTTGAGCATTATAGGAAACAAGAAGGAATTCAGATGAGCAGATAGTGTACAAATAGGATAGAATAATGATTCAAGTTACAAGGTCATTCTCATTAGAAAAATCCTGAGAAGAGTCTCATTGTCTAAGAATTGCAGTCTCCATTGGTAGAGAAATCTAATGGTTAATTTATGAAAATGTATTAGAGTTACCCATTCTTTGGAGTTTTCAATGATCCCTTTAAACTTAAGCCACATGCACTTCAAAATAAAGATGCTCATCTACGCTATCAAAGGGGTTTCCACTTTCAGAAAATTCTGTATAAAGTTAACTTTTTATTTTAACAACATTCCTTAAGGATTAATCCCATTTTACTTTATAGTCTAGATCAGGGTTTTTTAACCTTGGCACGTTTGATGTTTTGGACTGGAGAATTCTTTGTCCTGTGTATTATGGGGTGTTTATTCGCACCCCTTCTCTCTACACATGAGATGCCAGGAATACCTTCTCCATAGTCAGGACAATCAAAAATGTCTCCAAATTCAGATATTGCCAAATGTCCAGGGCAAGGAGAGCAGCATTGCCTCATTTGAGAACCGTTTGTCTCGATGTTTCTTCTTTATTATCTTATAGAATTGAGTAGGTAGAAAAGAAGGGAATTAATATTAAACATAAAACTCCTTTGATAATATTCAGTACCAGTTCAAATTTATCTAGAAGTCAGAATCCTGGTAAATTTAAGAACCTGAGGGAGGAGCTGACTCTTGCCTAAAGTTAGGAGGAATGGCGTAGGAACAAATCTTATCTGAGGAAGGGATGATGGGAAAGATAAGGCATATTAGGTGTTCAGGCTTCTAGATTCAGCAGAGATCTTCATAAGATCTCCCAGGTAGGCCCTTTCTTTCTGGCAGTGACTATGGTTCCTTGAGAAATGCCTCAAACCTCTAAGGAAAGTTCACATCTTTCTAGTTTACTTCCCTGTCCCTTTGCCCCTGTCCTCTGATCTCTTCCATCACTAAGGCAAAGTTTCGGTTATGTGGCTTAAATTTGAGGGACAGTATTTTTACATGTTAGGGATGAAGCCTGGAGATTAAAAAATATTGCTTCCCTATGGAGCATTTTTATTTGGGATCATTCCTAAATTGGGATGACCCTTCCTCTGCCTTTGCACTTCTCTACTTTTCATCTCTTCTTTCCATTCAACAGCTATGATATGGACTCCTCCTGACCCCCAACTCTGACCTTCTCTAACCATGGTCCTCCCTCTGGCAAAGCCCAGTCAGTCGCTGATGGAGAGGAGCCGCGGGAAAGGAATTAGAGGAGGCCCTCGGTTGTTTTTAGGTTTCTTTGTCCATGTTTCTTTGTGATGACAAAGTAGTAAGATTTCAAGAGCCAGAGTGGCTAGGGAAAGAGGCTGTTAAGGGCACTTTTTGCCAGGGTTTGATTCTAGTTAGCCCGGTTCATAAGGCGAGGATTTGGAGGCCCTGATTTGAGATTTCTGTCTATGGTAAAGACTTGAATCCCTGCTCCCACCCTTAACTGGGTCTCAGGTAAGAAGCTATCTAATTGCTTTATAATGAGGGAAGTTGAGATTTTACCTGTCACTGGATGGCGCTTTTTTTTATTTATTTATTTTTTTCCTTTTTCTCCCAAAGCCCCCCAGTACACAGTTGTATATTCTTCCTTGTGGGTCCTTCTAGTTGTGGCATGTGGGACGCTGCCTCAGCGTGGTTTGATGAGCAGTGCCATGTCCGCGCCCAGGATTCGAACCAACGAAACACTGGGCCGCCTGCAGCAGAGCGCGCGAACTTAACCACTCGGCCACAGGGCCAGCCCCATGGATGGCGCATTTTTAATAAGAAAGCCAATGGTGGAACTGTAGGCATCAGTCCTAGGTCAATATGGGAGTTCTTACTTTAGAGATGGATACATATATTTCAATTTTATAGATGGAGAAAATGATGGAAAGCAGTCAGTTTTCCTATTGCTTTTCCTAACTCTTTGGGTGGGACAGTCCACAAAGGCGGGCCCTCACTGTGTGGAAGGGCATGCGGTTTCTTGAAAGCTTGGGTGTGAAACTATGGACTGAATTTACAAATGTGATAATCAATAGCACCTTCTCTTAGGGATTAATCCAACTAATGTATTATTTTGTAAAACTTGAGCTTATTTGAGAATGTTCACAGTCTTGAGAAACCTATGATCAATGTTTGGCAGACCCACTTTAAATAGACATTGCCAGAAAAAATTGTTTGTGTTTACCTTATGGGCTCTACATGGTGAAATTAATCACGTTTATTTTATTTTTTTAAATTTTGGTAGACTTCTCTCTGCAAACTGGTAGGCAGGCGAATTTAGTGGTTAATTCTTACGTATTGATTTTGAAAAGTCAGATATAGCTTTAAACATTCATTTTATTTGCAGAAATTGTGCATGGAAATCACAGAATGGTAAAACTGCATTCTATTCTGGGCTAGTAAATTGTTTCCAAAAAACAAGTTGAGGAAATTGGAAGCCTTTTAATAAGGAATAGGGGTTATAGAAATGTATATTAAAATGAGTAATGAAAGATAGAATGTTCTCAGGGTTATATGCAAATAAGCACTAAATAAGGGGAGGTTTCTGCACACATGATGTGACAATAATAATTAGAGCTTTGAATGCGAGAAATTCAGAAAATGGACCAACCGTTTAAAAGGCAAATATGTCCTAAACAAATTTGTATTATCATGGTTTATTCTAAGGATGGGAGGAGTACACTCTCAAGGTTAGTGCCTCAAACAGGCCAAATAACTTTGCTCCAGAGCATTTACTCCTCTGCTCTCGTTTTCCTTTAATTTTCAAAATGGGACATAGCTGCCTCAGTGGCAAAGTGCACTGTAAAATGCAAGAATTTTCAAAGAATGCAATTGCTCTATGACATTCAATTTTAATCTCTATATACCCATCCAAGGCAGGTACAATGCCAATAAATTGTGGCCACAACAAATGCGGAAAGCCAGAGGACTGCTTTTGCCTGCAGAGTACAGATTTGCCCTGAAGACAGCAGGCAGTCCAAATGCAAGCTTGCTTCACCCAGGGAGCACAGTGTCTGCAGATTCTTGCATTTCATTCATATAATAACCTGAAAATGAGATCACAGGAAATGTATTAGGGAATAATGGATCATCAATCGAAATTGATTAGCTAGCATAAAATCACCCCTGTACATAAATCTTCCTAAGGAACAATCACCTTTAGCTTGAAAAATACATATGTTTACCCTTTCAGAAGAAGATAATGAAATATTTAAAGTATTCTGTTTTCTAGACAAATGATTCCTTCAAGTCCCCAGTACGCCCGCTCTAGGTTCTAAAAAATACAGCTGATATTTACCTTCCTCAGTGATTCTTCCTGCAACAGAAGCCAAATTCCTTTTCAACTTGGAGTCGAGCAGGAAGCTAAGGAAAAAAATCAAAAAGATAAAGAGCTAGCATTTCTCCATATTAAGGCTGAACAAAGAAACTTGACGAAGTCATAGCAGCCTTTCACAGTCACGGCAAAACACCGTGGTGGAGGCAACGGGCAAGACGATCCTCCATCTTAAAAGGAAAGAACCACTACAGAACTCAACCGCAACGCAGTCCTGGAGTTCAAATTTGATTCCCATTTCGAGGGAGAATAGCGCGAGCAGTGGAATTTGCATGGTTTTCCTCTTATCCAAAATCTTGCTCTCAAACAAAAATGCCGGGCTTGTGGCGCTCCAGATGCCGTGGAAGGGTCTGTGTCTGGCAAAGATATTTTCATAAACTCCTGGGCCTAGGCAGCACCCAACAATTCTGCTACAGTCCAATGAGTCTAATGAGTCTATATACTGCAGGCTCATTAGTCTATAGCTCATGGGTGGGTCATAGAATGATCCAGAATGCAAATACTTCAATCATTTCTTAAGGGTGAATGACTTCTACGATTACTTATGATTTACTTGAAACATAAGAGAACCTAAAGGGTTACTAAAATTTGGTAAACTAAAATGGGTTCACTATGAAAACTTACCCAGGGCTCTAATTCTGGATTTTAGCAAGAAATACGGCTGCCACATGCCCCTGGCTAAAAGTGCAAATTTCGTACATCACATATGTAGATGGTTGGAATAATATGATTTTTATGAAGAAAAGTTTGTGCTCAGGACATTATCAGTGTCGTCTTGAACTGGTCTTGGTTTTCAATTGCTGCTGTCTTTGCTTAATGTTATTTTTGGCTTCTTGTTAGCAATTTATTTTCAGTTAACTTTATAATGTAAAGTAATGCATATTTACATGAACGATATTTGGGCACGATATTTTTTCCTATAACTAGGCTCCAGGGGCTATATACATTGTGGTTCAAATAGACACACTGTATTGCTATCACTAAAGGAGATGTACTCATAACTGTTCTGAGATTTATTGGGTCTGACCATGGTGAATTCAGACACACTTTCATCTTGGTGCCTTTTTCCTTTGAGTTTCTTCTTTGCTTTACTTCTTTCAATTAGTGCTCATGGATTTTGCACACAAATGCCTATGTAACCTATTTTGTTCATATTTGATCGAATGCTTCAAAGCATAATCAGGATAGAAGGCTCTTACGTTCTTTTTCAAAAAAAAGGAAGTTCTTCTTTTTGCATTTTATAAAAATTAAGATAAACACAACCTACCTTATTGCCGAAGGGCATGCTATGTGACATATTTTCATTGTGGACACTTTCATTACCTAGAAATACAAACTCTGTTACTATCTCTTCAGTCATTCAGACATTTAATGATTCATTTATTCAGCACTTACAAAATATATATGTGCAAAGAGTAGCACATGAGTAAAGAGAAAAATTACTAAAGAGATAAAAAGGGCATATTGAAAAGGCATCCTTGGCAAGTATGCATTGAATTTCTCCTACCCATACAGATTGACTTGGTTAGGACACTGAGGAGTTGGTTCAGCTCAGAAACAATCCAACACCTTTGAGTAATAATCTCCTTTTTCTTTTCCCCGCTTACCAGGATCAGCCAATCGCAGAGCACATTTGTATGAGACCTGGCTCCTCCTATCCCCATTGGCCCATGCTACCTGCCCCTCCTGCCTGTACCATAGGCTTTCCGTTTTTCATTCCAGCCCCGCATGGGGTTGAAGTGCTTCGCATTCCCACAGTCAGTGCTGAGGCTCAGGCCTGACAGCTGCTTCTGGCTTATCCAGCAGCTCCCTAGCTGGCCTCCAGTTCCTCTGTGCCCTCGCAACGTGCTGCACACATTCCTCCCCATCGCACTAAAGGGAACCACTTTCTCAAGCGTTGCTGTGCTTTCATTTGCTCCATCAGTAACTCCCACTTATCAATAGCTCTATCATCAGCTGCCATTTCCATATACCATCATCAGTCTTAGAACAATTCCCCACAGCAGAATTCTTATCTACATTTTAACATACGAGGAAACTGAGGCCTAAAGAACTTAAGTGACTTGCCAAGGGTCACAACTAGTGAGCCGTGAAGAGCCAGGTCGATCAGAATTGGAAGCACATCCTCCGTTCCCACATCACAGTACCTCTAGCATTGCTGCTCTGGATTCACTGCATGTCTATGTTGGATGTCAAGTGGTTTTGCACGTAAATATAAAATCTATGTGAGTTTTACACTGACCTGCCCAATCATATTAGGTTTACATTAATATTTAAATTGGTGTACTAACTGCTTTGTTTTAATCCAAAATTCTTCAGTAAATACTAAAAACTTACCATTTGGATGGTGCACAATGGTGAGCTTATCTAGAAGACAAAAAAAAAAAAAAAAGCACATTCTACTGAGTTTTGCCCAATATTTCTCCTAAGCTCTCTTCTGTTTATTGGTTGACTACTTCTGGTCTTTGAGGCGACTATGAAGTTTCACAGTCTGATTTAAAGAATACTAACCTCTGGCCACTGAGTGTGAACCCATGTCTTTTATTACTTTAGTCTTTTTTCCTCCCAACACTTGTCCCAAGGTATTTTGATTTTAGATACATTTGACACAGTAAAAGCTTGCTGCTCTGCTTTGATATTCTTTTAGCCTGAGCTACTCCATTCTCTTTTGGAATTAACATTATTCAGGAATAGCTACATACAGTAAAATTCAGACATTTGTAAGAGTACAGGTTGATGAGTTTTGACAAATCTATACAGCCACGTGCCTATCACCCCAGTCAGGATAGAGGACATTCCCTCGTGCCCTCTTACGTCAATCCTCACATCATTACCACCCTTGGTGACCCCTGATCTGACCTCTGTCTCTAGAGATTAGCTCTACCCGGAATTGCAGACAAAGGGAATCTTACAGTACGTACTCCTCTTGTCCGCCATCTTTCACTCAGTGTCATATCTGTGAGATCACTCATGTTGTGGTGTATAACAATAGATATTCTCTTTTATTGCTAAGTAGTATTCCATCGTATGAGTATACCACAATGTAATTATGCATTCTTCTATAGAACATTTGGCTTGTTCCCAGTTTTGCTATTATAAATGAAACTGCTATGAGCTTTTGTAAGCAAGTCTTTGGATGCACATATGCTTTCATTTTTTTTGGACAAAATGCCTAGGAGTGGGTTGTCTAGGCTGGATAGTAAGTCCACACTTCACTTTTCCAAAGTCATCACACCAGTTTATGCTCCCATCAGCAGCGCATGCAATGCACGTCCAGTGGTTCCATGTCTTAATCATTTAATTTTGACAATATTTTAAAATTTTAGCCATTATACCCGTGTATTGGTATCTCGTTGTAGTTTAATTTGCATTTTCCCGATGATGAATGGTGTTGAGCATATTTTCACAAGCCTATTGGCCCTTTGTTTTTGTAAACTAAGATCTAGGTGCTGGAAGTGCCCATCGGTGCTGGGCTGTCATTGTTTCTAGGTCCCTTCAGCAGACAGAGCCAAGGAAATGTACAGTTTACACTTACAACTATATTTCTGTATCTACCTGTAATACATGTTAATAGCCATGAGTTGTTATACTTTAACCTCTGATTCCAGGCCAACACCACAAGATTCATTCCAACCTTCTTTCTTTCTCAGTTGTAATTCCTTTCTCTGACAAAAGGAGATCTGGCTTTCATTATCCATACACATTTATTTGTTTACTCAGCCCTAGAACACACATAAAGTTGTTTTGAAATTGCTAAACTATATCCCGGTAGAGAAATAAGCTCTACTAACTGAAGTATAGAATACCATTTTTATATATACTGTTTTTTCCTTTATTTTTATCCTTAGAATATACTGTTTTCTAAATTTATGTGTTAGTTTTTTTTTCTATCTCCCTTCAGTGTGAATATGTTATTTATTCATAATACCACTAGCTTCAAATTCTCCTGCTTATATTCCATTTTGCCCCCTTCCCAGCCCCATCTTTGTTTGTTGAATATATGAAATATTAACAAAGTTCTAAAAGTTAGAACTATACAAAGAAGTACACTCAGATAGTGTAGGGTTTTGTTGAGTCAGTTTTGTCTTTTAATTAATTTGCCCTTTTTGTCTAAGTTGTTAAATATATTGGCCAAAAATTAATTATATTTTCTTAGTATCTTTTTAAAGTCTGTAGGATCTGTTGTGATAGCCTCACTTTATTTTCCTGATATAGGTAACTCTTGTTTTCTCTTTTATCCGTGATCATTTTGCCATTGGCTTATCAATTTTAGTTGTTTTCAAATCACTAATTTTTTATTTTCACTATTGTTCATCTCTTTCATTTTTCATTGATGTTTGATCTGATGTTTATTATTTTTTCCCTCATACCTCTTTCTGGATTTAGTTTGCTGTTCATTTTCTGGTTCCCAAAGCGAAATTTAGATCATTGATCTTAAGCTTTTCATCTTTTCTGCTATAATATTTATAGCCATAAATTTACCTCTAACTACTATTTTAGCTGCATGCCACAAATTTTGATATGTTCTATTTTCATTATCATTCATGTTGAAATATTTTCCTGTGATTTCTTATTTGACCCATGGGATATTTTGAAATGCTGTATTTAATTCTTATCTATTTTGAGAGATTTTTCCTAATTTCTTAAATTCTAATTTATTTCCATTTTGGTAAGAGAATGTAAGATTGAGAAGACTGAATCTTTCAGAAAACATACTCTGAAGATTTGAATCTTTTGAAATTTGTTGAAACTTTTTTGCTAGCTGAACATGTGTTCTGTCTTGGTGAACCTTCCGTGTACACCTTAAACAAACATGTATTCTGAATTTTTTGATGTCTTCTTCTGTAAGTGTCAATTAGGGGTCCAGTTAGTTGATAAGTGTTGTCTAGATCTTCTGTGTTGTTACTGACTTTTGTCCATTTATTCTGTCAGCTACTCAGAAAGAGGTGAAAACATCTCTGAGTACTGTCCAATTTTGCTACATGAGTTTTTAAAAAATGCATAAATATATATGCAAGATAAAGTATATTTAGGATTTTTATTTCTTCCTAGTGAATTGCCCTTTTATCATTTTGCAACAGCTTCTTCTATCTCTTATAATACTCTTTGTATTGAAATTTATCTTGTCTTATATCCATATAGCCATGCCAGCTTTCCTATGCTTACTGTTCGCATGGAAAATTCTGTGTCTTCTATTTAAAATGCATAGCTTTTAGGCAGCATAAATTTGGGTATTGCTTTTTTACCCTAACTGAAAATGTCTACCTTCTAGATGAAATATCTAATCCATTTACATTTAACATAATTATTGATGTGTCTCAGTTTCATGCTACCATCTTGTTCTTGATTTTTTACTTATCCATTTTGTTTCCTCCTCTTTTTCTACTTTCCTGCTTTATTTTTGGTGATTCAAACAGATTTTTAGTGCTCCATTTTATTTTATTTCCTCTATTAGTTTCTTCTTTACTTTTTAGTGATGGCTTTATAACTAAAATATGCATCCTTAACTTAGCAGGAGTGGACCTCTTTACCTCATCCTTCCCGCCTTATCCTTTCCTCTTCTTTATACCTTTCTTTACATTCCAGACTTTGAGCTTCACCGTATAAACATTTTGTGACCACAGAAGTCCACTTATCTGCACCCTCTGTCTTTGTGTGGTTGTTTTCATACCTCTTCCTTCTTCATATGTTTTAATCCCCAACTTAAGTGCTATTATTTCGCTTTAAACACTTGTCTTTGAAATAATGTGTGAGAAGAAAGAAAACATAATGTTTTATATCTACATGCTTTGTGTAATTTTCAGTGATCTTTATTCCTTGGTGTGGATCTGAATTTCTGTTAATTAATATCTCCTTTATCCTATATGACATTCTCTAGTATTTATTTTATTGTTTCTGATAAGAAATTAGAGAATATTCTTATTCTTTTTCCTCTATATGTAACGTGTCTTTTTTTTCTCTGGTTACTTTCAAGAATTTCACTTTACCTTGGCTTGAAGCAGTTGGACTAGGAGTTATCTAGATGTAGTTCTCTTAACAGCTATGCTAATTGGGGACTTTTGAAGTTCTTGGAACTGTATGCTGGTGGTTTACATTAAATTTATCACGTTTTGGGCCATCATTTCTTTTAAAATGTTTTGTCCCAAACTCACTTTTTTCTCCTCTGGCACTGTAATTACAAGTATGTTAGACTGTGTTTTATTGTCCTGTGTGTCCCTGATGCTCTGTTCATTTTTAGTTTTTTTGTCTCCCTGTTCACCATATTGGATAATTTCTCTTGATCTGTCTTCAAGTTCATTAACTCTTAGTTTTGCTTTATCCAATCTGATGATAAGCTCATCTGATAAATTTTTCACTTCTTTTATTGTAATTTTAATTTCTACAGTTTCCTTTGGTTCTTTTATATAGTTTCAGTTTTTCTTCTGAGATTCCCTATTTATTCACTTAAAACCATATTTTTCATTAATTTAATTATGTTTATACTGGCTGCTTTAAGATCAATAATGGGACCATCTCAGTTTCAGTTTTTATTGATGGCTTTCTTTTTCTTGTCTATGAATTATATTTTCCTATATCTTTGTATATTTTCTTTTTTTCTTTTAATTGATACTTGACATCACAGAAAATCTGTTATATATTCTGGATTCTGTTATATTCCTCTGATAAGTATAGACTCTAATTTTAGCAAGCAGTTTGATTACTGGCATGAACTTCTGTAGTCTTGACTTCATGCTTTTTTCAGTGTTGACCTATAGAAAGCCCAAGGGGTTTTCTAAGGCCCTCAGTGGGTCTGAGCCCACAAATTGTCTTCCATGTGGATCTTGTCGGGGCTTGGTTTTAGGCTTTATTAGGGCAGCTCTAGAGTAGGTTTTACTCTAAATCATGGTCCTTACTCATTAAATCTCTTGGATGTCATAGCGGGATGCCAGGTGATTTGATAAAGTATAAGGAGATCTTTCCGTCTCGGCAGGGCAGGAACTCAAACATTCCCAGAACAGCTTTTTCCTGGCTCTGCTCAAACTCTAGTGTCCCTGTTCTGCTTTCAATGCCCAGAAGCTGCTGTCTTGTATGTCTTGAGTGATTTTTGCCCTGCACGTGTACAGCTCACTTCTCAGCCACCGGCTTGTGGAGTCCCTCACTCCCTCCGGGGCTACCTCTCTGCACAGTTACCTCCTTTTCAATGACCCATCACATACATTCCAGCAGTTTTGGCTGCCCTGACCTTTGATCTTTGCCTTTTCAGTTCGACAAGACTGCCTTGCTTTGCACAGATTGTAGGCAGGAAATCCATCTCCTGGGCAATCATGAGAGCCTCCTCATAAACTTCATCTCTGGGATTATAGTCCTAGGCTGCCCATTATCCACTCTCTGAAATCAGTTGCCTCATATTTTTGCCAAGTATTAGTGTTCTGTCCAGTGGGAGTATTTGTTGGTACTACTCATTCCATTTTGATTGGAAGGGGAACTAGTTGATTCCTAATGGAATGGTTAAGAGCATTGACTTTGGCTTCAAATAGAAATAGGCTGTAGTTTCTAATCTGTGTGCCTTTGGGCTTCTTAGTTTCGCAGAGTCTCAGTTTCCTTATTTATAAGTTGGGACTAATGCCTACCTCAAAGGGTTATTGTAAGAACAAATAAGATAATATTAAGCATATAGTAGATAGTCAATAAAAATTAGCTACTACTAGTTAAGGTTCCTAAGCAAAATTATTAACATGTTTTCTATTTTTATACTTTGTTAAAATCTGAATCTTATTTCACATTAGAATACATAACTGTAGAAGTCAGTTATCTGTAAATTAGTCCTGTGTTTATGATCTTAGTTATTTTAGAAAGTATATTTCAGCTATAGAAAACATCTAAGAGATCTTAAAGAACTCTCTATGGAAAAGCAGATAACTACCCAATATTTGAAAAGAAAATGAATTTTAACAGGGTGCATTTCAACATGAAGCACCAACTGAAAGCTTTGCAATATTATTGAAAATGGAAGGGATGGAAACTTTCAAGTTTTGCAGTTTTGCTAGTGGTTGTTCGTTTTTAATGATCTATGCAGGGATAGGGATGGGGGAAAGAATGGTCAGATAATGGCAACATAATTTATTCTCAATTTTGGAATGTGTTGTTTATCTTTGGAGAAGATTTACCATCTTAATAATGTTTGGTTTATGTTAACATTAAAATGAGTCTTTTCTCCCCCTGAGAGCAATTGTTAATTATTAGCAAGGGGAATCTCATCACCAACAGGCACACTAGCTGCAGGAGAAAGCAACCTGAGATTTACAATTTAAAATGATCCACATGTGGACAATTGTGCTAACTGATTATATTGAGAATATTCTACTTTATTAAAAAAGTATGACTCCTTAATAATTCAATACTTTATATAATGACTGATATAAAAAAACTGGAACAGAATTATCTTATTTGCAACTTACAGGGAAATCAAAGGAAAGAAAGTAACTAGTGTTTATTGAAAGTCCATTATGGGTCAGAGAAGGTGAAAAGTATTTTATACGTTAACTCACATAACCGCTTACAGATATGTGTATAACTATTCTGTTTTGCAGACAAGGAACCTGAACACCAGGGATTAAGACACTCTACAGGTCACACAGCTTGGAAGTGATGAAGTGTAGATCTGAATTCAGGCCTGTTTGACTGCACAGTCCTTGCATTTTCCACTTCATTACTAACATTTTTGAATACTAGGCAAATTTTACTTACCAAAGACATTTTCTTCCTCTGGCCTGTTCCCAATAATGCAATCTCGTAGTTGGCGTAGTTTTTCCTTAATGAGGAAACAACCAGGATACAGAAGTCAAGATTTACAAATTTGTCATGGATCAAGATGAAAACATCAACTACTATAACCAGCACCACCTGACTACTTACTACCCATTTGGTACTCACAATGTCCCAATCATCATCCTTGCTACATTACATGTATTATCTTACTTAATCCTCACAACTTCATGAAGTGGATAGAAACTGTCTTCTTCTCATTTTACATACATGGAAACTGAGATACAGACAGGCTAAGTAGCTTTCCCAAATCACAGTTATAAGTGGTAGAGTCAGGATTGGAACCCAGAGCCCAGTTCATTTGGGAGCTGTTTTCCCAATCTAACACCTGAGAAGTCTACACTGGCTGTTTGGTGCCCAAAAGCAGGAGGGTGACACAATGGGGATTTGCTGGTGTCTGAGTCCAACTCCAGCCTCAGTAGGGCACCATCCTTCCTAGGAATTCCTCCTAAGAACTAAGAAATCCTTCCAGTCAACTAGGGATTGGGGAGTAAGTGGTACCTAAGGGGATTCCCCTTAGCTCATTTCTGATCTTTCTTTGCTTTCCAAATATTCTACATTTAACACGTTATCAGTTTAACCAAAACGTAAAACAAGCTCACATTCAAAAATCCCCTTTTAGAAGAGAACCTAGTAGTAGCAATTTCTCCTAAGTGTTTCTGCTGAAACCTAGACACCACATTTCCTAACTAGAGAGTTGTTTTCATTGCCTTAGAGATCCTCTCCTACGAGTGGAGCAAACGTTCTTCTTTAGGCACTCAGCGATTATTGAAGGGCCATTGTGGGTCACAGAAGGTGAAAGGTATTTTATACGTCAACTCACACAGCCACTTCCAGATATGTGTATAATTATTCCTGTTTTGCAGACAAGGAACCTGAACACCAGGGATTAAGATACTCTACAGGTCACACAGCTGGGAAATGATGAAGTGTAGATCTGAATTCAGGCCTGTTTGACTCCACAGTCCTTACATTTTCCACTTCATCACCACCATTTTTTAGCAGCAGTGACAAAAGTGAAAGATAAAGTTTTCATCTCTCTATCATCTCACCTTCAGCGATTCCACATGGGTCCTCATTATTCTAGAAAACTTCTATTACTAACTCTATGTTTGTGTTAAATTTTTTGTGGTATTTTCCTAGGATGATACCTCTGCCAATAATAACATAATTTCACAGTTATCTCTTTGATAGATTCATCCTTAGCATACAAATGAATATTTTTGTAAACTACAAGAGTAATATTGAAAAGTGTATGGGAATGAGTATGTGTGTGCATATGTTGGGAAAACAGGGAGAACATTCATTTTTTTGTTGTTCTGACTGTTGTCCAGGCCCTCATGTTAAGGACTTACTAAGGAAACATAGGGAAAAAGCTTCTTGATGTTGGTGTTGGCAACGATGTTTTGGATATGACATCCAGAAGCACAAGCAACAAAAGCAAAAATAAACAAGTAGGACGACATCAATCTCAAAGCACATCAGAAGAGGCAATCAATGAACTGAAAAAGCAGCCTTCAGAATGAGAGAAAATATTTGTAAATCATATATCTGATAAGGAGTTAATACTCAAAATATACAAAGACTTCATTTACCCCAATAGCAAAAACCAAATAATCAGGTTAGAAAATGAGCAGAGGAACTGAATAGAAATTTTTCCAAAAAAGACAAACAAATGGCCAATAGGATATAAAAAGGTCCTCAACAGCACTAATCATCAGGGAAATGCAAATCAAAGCCGCAACGAGATATCACCTCACACCTGCTAGAACGGTGATCATCAAAGGACAAGAAATGAGTGCTGGCAGGATGTGGACAAAAGAGAACCTTTGTGCACTGTTGGTGGGAATGGAAATTTGTGCAGCCACTATGGAAAACAGCATGTAGGTTCCCTAAAAAACTAAAAATAGAACTACCATATGATCCAGCAAGCCCACTTCTGGGTATACACCCAAAAGAAATGAAAACAGGATATTGTGCACTGCAGCATTATTTACAATAGCGAAGATATGAAGACAACCTAAGTCTGTCAATGGATGAATGGATAAAGAAGATGTGATAGGATAGGAAGATGATTGGAATATTGTTAAGCCATGAGAAAGAAGGAAATTGTGCCATTTGCATGAACATGAACGAAGCTTGAGGGTAGTATGCTAAGTGAAAAAAGTCAGAGAGAGAAAGACATACTGTGTGATGTCACTTATACATGGAATCTAAAACAGCTAAACTCTTGGAGACAGAGAGTAGAATGGTGGTTACCAGGGATGGGGGAGTGGGGGAAAAGGGGAGGTGTTGGTTAAAGAGTACAAACTTCCAAGTATAAGATAAATAAGTTCTGTGGACCTAACAGACAGCATGGTGATTATAGAAACTGCAGTACTGTATTATATACTTGAAAGTTGCTAAAGGAGTAGATATTGTGTCCTCACCCCAAAAAAGAAATGGTAATATATGACATGATGGAGCTGTTAGCTGATGCTATGGCGGTATAAGCATTTTGCAATATATAAGTGTGTCAAATCTACACTTTGTACACCTTAAATTTACACAATGTTGTATGTCAATTATATCTCAATAAAGCTGGGAAAAAAGGGAAAAAGACTGATTCCTTGAACAGGATTCAGTCAGAATCACTGACCTGTGGCTCTTCTGGGAGGTAGCCTTTGTACCTGTTCTTGCACTTATGTTAATTTCTTTGTTTTGTTTTGCATAAACACTAACCATATCCATTATCCTATTGTCCCTGTATGTTAGATACATCAGATCAGTCTCGAAGGACAGTAGTCCCCCTCTTATGCACGGTTTCGCTGTTCACAGTTTCAGTTACCCTGCAGTCAATCACGGTCCAAAAATATTAAGTGGAAAATTCCAGAAATACACAACTCATAAGTTTTAAATTGTGCACTGGCGAGATCTCATCGCGATGGCGGTGTAAGCAGACTCTGAAGTCATCTCCTCCCATGAACACAACCAGGTTACAACTATTTTTGGAAAAATTATCCCAGATTGAAAACTGAAAACTGGATAAAAAGAACTCCCACAACAAGGAACACTCCTGACTAAGGCAGAAGAGGCAGAAATTCCTGCTGGAGAGGAAAAAGCCACCTTTGGGAGCAGCAGAACTTCTCAGCTGGCCAGGCGGGAGCCACCCTAAGGTATGCAGCCCACCCTGGAGGAGTGAGGTCTGGATTGGGGCCGATACTGCTATATGCATCCTTCAGACACAGTCTAGCTGAGATGGGGGTCTTACTGTCTGACTTTGCTGGCTATTAACTGCAGGGAGGATACCCCCAGGAAAGCTATCAGCCAAAAGCCGAAAAGATCTGGTCTTAAAGGGCCCACGCACAAACTCACTCATTGCAGCAAACTAACATCACCAGAGAGAAAGCTGACAGTCCTTTGGTGAAATGAGACTCACCTGCTGGGCTCTGGGGGCATCTCGGTGAGAGGAGGGACCTCTCTGGAGACTGAGACATTCGTGGGGGCCATTGTTCTGACTTGGTCGAGGCGTACTGACACAGACCCCGGTGGGTGCCGTTGAGGTTCTTCCCTTGGCCTGTTCACCCAGAGGTCTGCCACACCCACTAGAGCACAGATTTAATCCAGTTCAGCCATGGCAGGCAACCTGCCCTAGGGACTGGCCCCACCTAACAGCAAGCCCTCAGGCTACTTTTCAGCCTGCATTGGCTGGGTGTTGATTCTCTACAGGCAAGGGAGTGTGTCTGCCTCTGTGGGGCAGGGCCTGTGTGAGGACCAGGTGAACTGTGGCGGACATTGGTGGAGAGGTGGGGGCCTCTGCAGTGAGGCATCAGGGTACGCTCCAGGGGGTTGAGAAGTGTGCATGGATCAGGACTGTGTTGATGGTGTGTGTGGTCCTGTGGGGGGTGAGGCTTATCAGTGGCAGAAGACCTGTGCTTCACAAATAGCCATAAAAAAGACCAGCCCCACCTTCCAAAGCCTGAAACAATTGACTGCTCCTGAGCCTAGGGCTAGCCCCATTCAGCAGCACTCCTAAGAGAACTGACAACAGCCTTGTAGGCCTGAGGCCTATCACAACTGTAAGCCCCTGAGCCTAGCAACCAGCTACACTGGGTACCAACCCAATTAAGAGGAAAACTGCAACAGGAGTCTGTGGATAGACTTTGTAGCCAGCAGTGCTGAGGCTCCCCAAACCAGATTTACAAACAGCTGGCCAGGGAAGGAAAGACTAGACTCCCTGGGTACCTGCAGTGGGAGCAACCCTGCCACAGCAGAAGGACACAGGTAGCCCACAAAGGAGTCACTCCTGGATCTTCTGGACTGGTGAAGAGAGGGAAGCACGCTGCTGGGCCTCATAAAGCATCTCATACATAAGGCCACTTCTCCAAGATCAGGAGACATAGCCGACTCACCTAATACATAGAAATAAGCACAGAGAAAGAGGCATAATGAGGAGACAAAGGAATACTTTCCAACCAAGGGGACAGGACAGAACCCCAGAAAAAGGACTAAATGAAACAGAAACAAGTGACCTACTTGACAAAGAGTTCAAAAAAAATATCAGAAGGGTGCTCACAGATATTGGGAGAAGACTGGGTGAACACAGTGAGCCCACCAGCAAAGAACTGGAAGATATAAAAAAAGAACCAATCAGAAATAGAGAATACAATACTGGAAGTGAAAAATTCACTAGAGGGACTCAATAGCAGAGTAGAGGATGTGGAAGAATGGATCAGTGAGCTAGTTGAAAGACTGGAGGAAATCACCCCAGCTGAACAGACAAGAGAAAAAAGAATTAGACAGAATGAGAACAGTCTAAGGGAACTCTCGGACAATATCAAGCATGCTAACATTCAGCTTATAGGTGTCCCAGAAGGAGAAGAGAGACACAAAGGGGCAGAAAATTTATTTGAAGAAATAATAGATGAAAATTTTCCTAAACTAGGGAAGAAAACAGACATCCAAGTACAGGAAGCACAGAGAGCTCCAAACAAGATAGGTCCAAAG